TCGAGGGGAGTACTTGTGTGAAGCTGAGCTCAAAGAGAATGCAAGAGGTTTTCGATCAGCGAAAAGGGTGAATTCTTGACCCTAAACAGAGTGCCGAAAGTCCAATACAGCCCAATACATAGCTTGCAGTTCCCTAGTGAAAATGCTATATCTCGATTCGGAGTCTAGCAACCGTCTTCAGAAGAATGTCAAAGGTTGCCAGGATTGGTTAATCCATTGTTCTAAAATTCCCCCGATCGTCGAGTCTGATGCGTCTAGTGTGACACTAATGGATGCTTAGATGTCCTGGTGTTCAAGCAATGTTGCTCTGGCGATAAGTTCCTTAACTGTGACGAACACTTCCCGCGACGTCGTCCAAATTGATGGGTTTTGAATTTGCAAGAAGTTGGTCGGTTAAAGGTCTCATAAGAGACATGCAATTCGGTATGAACCATCTATAAAAACTTAATAGGTCGTTAAACGTGCGTAGTTGCTTGATTGTGGTCGGTTATGGGTAATTAAGAATTGCCACCGCTTTGCTTTTTAGAGGTCGGATGCCTTGATCATGAATAGCATGTCCGGGAAAATGTCGAGAGTCGGTGCCAGTTTGACATTTCTGAATGTTTATAGTAAAGCCGTTCTTTTGCAGCCGTCCAAAGAACAGATCAAGATGCTGAGATGATATTCTTTCTTCGAACTTGAAACAAAGCAGTCATCAACATATGCATGTACGAAGTTAAGACCTCAAAAAACGTCATCGATGAATTTATGGAAAGTTTGTGCAGCATTTCTTAAGCCGAAAGACATGTGCGAAAATTCGTAGAGACCAAAAGGTGTGATGGTAGCTGTTTTAAGAATGTTGTCGACAGTCATGGAAATTTGGTTATATGCTTTAACAAAGTTCGTTTTCGAAGAAAGTTGTACTTTTCAAGATAGCTGTCAAATCGTGAATGTGAGGTACCGGGTAGCGGTCAGGAATGGTGTTCTCATTTAGTCGCCTATAGTCATCAGTTGGACACCAATTGTTGTTATCTTTTTTAGGGACCATGTATAAGGGAGGTGCTCATGGGCTGTTTGATGACCGAATGATTCCTAAGTCTATCATATGGTCAAACTCGTTTTTAGACTACCTCATCTTTTCAGGAGCTAGTCGGCGCGCTTTCGAGAATGCGTGTGGTCCTATAGTCGTGATGTGATGTGGTGGTCATACATGGGAATTTCGGTTGCGTTCAGTATATCACAGGGTACTTATCGGGTATTTGTTGGTAGTATGGATCGTTTGCCATACTGTGACTGGGTGTTATCTACAACCGGAAAAAGAAGTGACAGAAACAGACATATTGGTGTTTCCGTCTACTACTGATGAGTAAATCATGATGTAGCAGGTTTATACCAATGGTTGGCATAGAAACGTCTGGAACAACGAAAATCCAGTGCATGGGTTTGCGTAAGCCCACGTTAAGATAGACGTTTACCGTACGCGGAGATCGGTCTTCCGTTTGTCGCCTATAAGCTTAAGACTGGTTTGTGCAGTCGGTTGTTGGAAATCGCTGGAAGAACGATGACTTCAACGTGGTAGCGAACTTTCGTAACCCCATCAGTGACATATAACGGGCAGCTATGTTGCCATTTACAGATATAAAACGGTCTATAATTGGCAACTTGATATCACACAGCCAGAGCTTGTTGATGAGACGTATATGATTATCTCCGTCAAAATGTTCTGAGAATTCGAGCTATATCATTTCTGTCATCTTCCGATCATACTAGATGCAATTCCATGATCACATCTCTTACTGTTAGCCAATGCTTCTAACATTGATTTTCAGACGAAACACAATGAGAAATACGCCTTCCTGTAGACGGGAGTGTGTCTCCTTCATTAAGATGCAGAATTCAAAGAACAAACAATCCAGCAGTATTTGGACGTTCGAGTTTTAAAGCGTCAAGTTTGTATAAAGCGTTACGGCGTCATTGAGTAATCTCCAAATAACAAACTTAGTCTGCTTCGGGTACGTTGCGTTTCCCAATATTTTCCCAATGTTTATTAATGTATGTGGCCTATTTTTCTCGTACTTCGACTCGAATAGACTGAATTTGTACTCGTTCCATGATTCATGTCTCGTAAATGGAGGACATATGTCCATATGTACATATGTAATAGTTTCATTGACAAGTACTAGTAAAACTTCATTACTTTCTTGTTTCAATATATGGCACTTCATCGTATTTAGTCGTCGGACTAACAGGTATTTGATTTCCGCGCGAAGTACCTCGAAAATACTTCGTTGAGGTCAGTAGCTACCACATAATTTCCAGTCTTCAGTAATAAGGATATTAGGTTGATGAACCTGTGTTAATCTTAGCAGTTTGCCTTTACAGTGAAGGTTCAGCTTCTCCTTGAAAACGTTCATTGATGGGACTGATACCACTTGTTCAGGTAGGGAGTTCCATTGATTGACCACTCGATGACAAAAACGGAATACCACTTTAAGTTTATTAGATCCCTGTTTGTGAACCTTCTTGCTATAACCTCGGAAATTATCAGTGCTGGATGGAGCAAAAAGATAAGACTAACACCCAGATCGTATATAAAGATACAAAATACCAATAAAAGGTCACTTCGTATCCTACGATTCAGATTCAGATTTGTGTAGTAAGGACAGAAGGCCTACGACCCATGTTATTCCTTTTCTTGTATGCTTCTGTGAGTGTCCAGTCAATTGAAGATGTGGACACCACTGCTTTGGGCAGCAGGTCCCAAGTATTGATGACTCGGTGTGAAAACCTGTATGCCACGGGTATTTTGTTCGTTCTTGGCTTTTCTGCTCGCCTGCTATGTCCTATGAAATGTCCCGATCTAGTGGGAAGAAAAAGTGAGAATAAGTTAGGTATTCTGTACATCAAAATTAGATCTCCTCTTAATCTGCGATAGGACAGAGTAATGAGGTTCAGCTTTTCAAGCCGCTCTTTGTATGGCAAACCCCGGAGTTCTGGAATTGTACGGGTAGCTTACCTCTGTACTTCCTCTAGGATATCCGGGCCACCTAAACAGGGGCTTGCGGCCTGAACACAGTTCTGAAGCTTAGTTCTCACTAAGAATGTGTATACTGTGGTGAACATGGTAGTATCCAACTTATTGAATGTTCGTTTTAAAGCCTAGAGGGTTCGACCTCCCGGCAATGGGCCGTGGTCTTAAGATCATGACTCAGTGTCACCCCTAGATCCTTATGAGACCGGACTACGGGTAATGGCACTTCCCCTATGTTGTACATATTAACCTTTGAATCCCCAAAGTGCATGTGAAGTACTGATAATACTATCCCATCTGGTCATTCATGAAACCATGATTTTTTATAATGAGAATGCCATCATAGCAACCGATGGTTGGAGACCCTGAATGACATGGTTCGAAATCGTTTGCAATAGCGCAAGTGCATCCATTCTTTGTGTTCTCCCAAATTCTAATATTCTGAATTCTCCTTGTATCTTTTTTCCTCTTTCCAAATATATTTCATTATATTATACTCCTTGAATAGCATCTTCAAAACCTAATCTTTCCGATTACTGCTTAGACTCTTACCACCTCCACCACTACGGGATTTGAATCGACAACTGCATCTCTGTGCTAATGTGGTGTGGTAACTCGAACTGTGATGTACGTACGTACGAAGTTCTACGTTGTTACTGACTAACTGAACCTTCAAAAGGCGGTTTTTCTGAGGACATTCAGACTCGTCCTCTTGTCCTATTCTACAAAGCTTACAAATGCTAACTCCTAAAACTTTATGTGGGAGTAGTTTGCTTATTAAGGACTAAATATGGCTGAGGTCGTGTTTAAATCTAGCCTTTGGTTCCTTATCGGAAGATTCTCTTAACTTATGAAAAATGACTGACCTTTCAGAGAGGTCTGTCTTGACATGTAGTGGAATTTTTATTTCTGATACCGTCTCTTCCAATGACTTGCTAACCAGCTGCGTTTTGTCTACAGCTCTTTTCTTCTCGTTTCTTTTTCTCCGTACTGAAGTCCATTTATCATCACTCAGGACAGCCACACCGGGACTATTTGGAACGGTGAGTTTTATCCGGGTCTTCAATTTCCACTTGAGGTGTATGATTACCAATGTCAATATCAAGTAGCACTTCACTCCTCGTTAGTGTTAACGGAGGTTTCACTTTCCCGTCAATCACAGCCGGGTGTTTAGCGGGTCCGGTAGCAGCACGTACTACACTGACACATTCTTCACCGTCAGTGCTCTTGTTATCAGCGCAACCGCCATCATTTTTCTTACAGGCCAAAGCCAATAGACTCATAGCCTCCTGGATTAGTAACTTCTTATTTGTACAGCAAAACATACAAAGCCAATGCGAGTTAGGCTTCGAGCCCCCAATGCCCCCAAATGCCCTGGTATGGCCGAGAGTGGGGTTGGCCCGCCCTCCCTCTCGAAATGCTCTCACACGGCCACGCGTATACAGCCTCTGCCAGTAAAGTCCTACTCACTGCCTTCTCGTGGCGGGGGTGTTGTTTACAAAAATGAGAGGACGAAAAGCGAATGTTCGGCGCTTTAATCGGATTCCAAACCAATGGTGCACATGGGCTCCAGTATCCTGAGGGAACAAACGGTGTATGAACCAATCGTTGGTCACCGTCCACCATGGGACTGCATCTCCTCACGATGCTCCACTGCCTTGTGGATCAGACCTTTATGTCAAAGGCTCCGGGTGTGGCCCCCTAAGAAAACCACCTGCTTCGGTCTGGGCCGTAGGACTTAGACATGTACACATCTTATGGTACCACTTTTTACATTCATCACACTACATTCCTTCCTCAACGGGGAACAAGCAGTTTGGTTGTTCACATTTATAAGTCTTACTAACCACTGTAATTTGATTAAAAAGGTTCAAAACACAATATGATCACAACGTGAACACGAGTGTCAGTCAATGAGTAAAAAAGGTTCCACAGGACAAAGTTTAGCAAAAATTTCAAACCTTAACCGAAGTACTTTTAGTTAAAGTAGACCAAGAATGCTTTTTGGTGCAACAAGTACACAAAGCAAGGATAATCACAACAAGTACAAGAATCACTGCCCTTTTTGGAACGAGCTCCAAGTACGACACCATAAGGGGAAAAGGTTTAGGCTTGTTTAGCGCTGATCGTAAGGGAGTTCAGAAAGGCCGTTCACTAATTTCGCTCTCACACACTGAACACGCTCAAGTGAGTTAGTATCTTTTATCAGATATGGGCTAGCTGCTTGGATACAGTACCCTAAGTGTGGTCTTACATAGGTGAGATATGAAGTTCGAAACATCTCGTCAAAGCATTTGAATGCTCGGCGAAGTGACCATAACGCACGATAACCTTTGGCACAAGCTGCATTGCAATGCGTAGTTGTTTTCAAGTACTGACTTATTATTACTCTTAAGTCTTTATGTTCTTGAACGCATGAAAGAGATGTACTATCAATGGTATAGTGGTAACTATTACAGTATCCGATGTGCATGGGCACACTCTTCCCAGAATTAACTTCTAAGCACCAACCCCGAACCCACCTAACTAATTCGTCTAAGTCAGCTTGGAGGTCGAAATGATTAGCCTCACTTCTTATTGTTCTCCAGAGTGGTCTTGAATTAATGTCCGCAGGAGATGACAGCAGTCGTGGATTTAAAACATCAGGACTTGGTATCCTACAAGGTTTGAAGTTAGTGGTCAATGGAAGGACAGTTTCCTCAATCACATGTTCAGATTCTATTGCTGGTATCTCGGTGTGATTGGGACAAGTATTTGTAACAATACACGTGGAGTAGACCTTGCTAAAATAGTTTGAGAATGTCTCAGCTTTTGCCAGATCTGATTCAGCTAGTAAATCTGAATTTTCATGTAATAGTAATGGGAGAATGCCGACACTATGTTTTGTTTGCCGTTTAACGTACGAAAAGAATCGTTTCGGACAAGTACGGCTATCATATGCCAACTATCGTTCGCAATTAGTACGGGATTTAGTTATGGTCTTTCTACATATATTCCGGGTATTTTTATATTCACACTTAAATGATGCGTGTTTTGTTAACAAGAATAAGTCCCAGAAGTGTTTCTTACGCTTCAACAGTTTCCGGGTTTCCTTATTAATCCATGGAGGGCAATGTGGTAGCTTACATGTTGACCATGGCATAAACGGTGATGTTACGAACTAGAATGTAGCATTAAACTTATTCCATTCGTCTTCGATCGATTTATCCGCATCGACCGACCAGTCAGTCGAGATAACCCAGTCTCTGATTGCCGGAATATTAGCTCGCCAGATATTGGGACGGGGTGAAGCAAACACAAATTGTATATCATATGTCCAAGACTTAAAATATAACGTGATCACTATTCACTAGTGGGGGGGAGTGCTGAATGTCGATGACATCCTCACAGTGGTGTGTGAGGACAAGGTCCAGCAATGACGGGTCATGTTCCAAGCCAATATGTGTCAGTTTTGTGATGTCCATCTTGTTGTGTTAATGAGGTATGGCAACTTGGACCGATGCATATATGTGCCTGGTCCTACGTTGTAGCTGACTGACTGACTGAGTTTTGCGATACATTGTACGAGTGTACACTGAATAATGATTGATAGAAGGTCGCTATCGAAACCCCTCACCTGGAGCTGTAAGCTCTATCCAGTTGATATATGATGCATTGAAGTCTCCAATGGTGAAACAACATTCTACCTTACTCCAAGAATAGATGTATCTTAAGATAAAGTCGTCACAAGACAACATGGACTACGGTATATTCCTCCTATAGTCACTAACGCGTGTCTAGAATTAATTGTACAACATGCTACCTCATATATACCACTAACATGAGCCTCCAATAGAATTGATTGTATACGAGTGACCCCTAACATAACATTATGCCTCCTCCCTTGCGACTTATAACTCTATCACTTCTAATACAGGTGTGGGAGAACAGTCTATATCTACGGTGAGTCAAGTTTCTGTGGCAACAATTATATCAGAACTTAATTAATCCACCATCAAACTTAGCTCGGACGTTTTGTTTCGAAGACTACGGGTGTTCGTGTATCACACATTTAAGGTGTTTTGGGAATCATTGCTTTTAACCATACAAATCTCGAAAGCTTTGGCTTCTAAGACCTGATCACTCGAAAACCCTGAATCGTCAGGTTCTTTTGGCCATTTAGTTTTTGAGTTTTTAGCTTCGTAAAGGCATTTTTTTCACTTGATTCGATCCTCAAGCGACCAATCTGGTCGGATACGAATATTCGAATTACGAGTTGGTTATACGTTATTCAATATTACGTCTCTTTCATTGAAATTCCCGAGTACCAACTTCAAGACCCTTCTTGGTTGGGTCTGTCCTCCAACCCATTTACCGAATTTTATTACTTTCGTGCTATGTACTCCTGAAACCTCTTCTGGCAGTACATTTCTGATGGCAGATTCCACTAACTCTAGATCGTGTGCATGTCTTTTATCAGGATCATTGTGTTTTGGCACCTCTAGGTTCCAAATAATTAAACTAGGAAACGGGTTTAACTTCTTTGCAGGTGTTCGTGGCTTTCGACTGTGATGTCAAATCCTGCCTGTTAACTTCTGGCAGCTTCGTCAGTCAGTCGGCTACAATGTAGGATCAGGTACATATATGCATCGGTCCAAGTTGCCACACCTCATTAGCACAACGAGATGAACACCAGGTTCATAGAAGTAGTTACCGTTAGTTTTTCTTGTAACAGAGTTGTGGGAGTCGAGCGAATGACTCATGACAATGTTTGATGAGGTCAAACTTTTCCCATCTACGATAGGGTTAAATACTATCCTACATTCGAACTTTGGCGGAGTAATTTGCAACGCAGAATGTAAATCCACCAAGGACTTTTCAACTAACCGGATTGTTATTTTAAGCTTACACCCAGTCCTCCATTTCATTTAAGAGATTTTTCAAACGAGACCAGTCTTTATGTAAACGCCGTTGCTTCTATGTTAGCTAATTGTTTGCTTGTAGGACCAGTTAGCTTATCGTGGATTATATTTTATAAACTCATGACAAATACTGAGTATTGCATGCTAACTACCGACCTCCACTCTTGGTAACAGAGAGTTGGTTTTAGGCCGGTTTTCGCGTGCAGAGTTTTTAGTGTTTTGATAAAAGCTTCAAACATTCTTTGGCACTGAATCCTAGATTACGACTTTTTCTACTGAGCTTAAGACAGAATTGACGTGAATTTAATGGAATCATCTAATCAGGTTTTATCACGTTTTCTTGTATTTTATTGTGATGACTTAGTAGTTAAAGTGATCAGCTTCCAACAAGCAAGTCTCAGGTTTGAATCAGTGTCCATCTACTTCGATTTGAGCGCACTGGGACTTTCACTGATTCTTATTAACAGTGTGACTCATAGTCGACTACTTAAATCTGTACTTGAAAAATAATTTTCCATAACAAGATGCTTTAGATTCTGTTTATAGGTTCTAAATTTATTTTTTAACATTAGTGAATCATTACATAATACTCATAACTTTGGATAATCCGTTGTACGCCGCATTGCAGGATAATGTCTAATAAAGGCAAATTGCAAGATGAGGCTCTCAATAATGAAGTATGCATTCAATTATCAGTATTTCAGTCACTTAATTCAGAATTCAAAGTCAACAAATTCATTCTATCATGAAGAGAATTCTGTGAAATTGGATGGAAGTGCTCACGATCTTTTACAATTCCGAGATTGTTGTGAATCATTACGCGAGTTCATAAAAAATACATGGCAGCGTAAAAAATCACAGGAGAAGGTATATTGAATACACTTACCTGGATAATGTTTTCAGATTAATGCTTCGCAGTTTGCCTTTCTGATGATATCTATCAAGGAGTTGAACAGAAGAACTCAGTTTAGGATTCGAAAATCTCGAGAAATAACTGCAGAGGTAACTTGAAGTTGTGCTAAGATTACTTCATATTTTAATTCTAACAGAATAAGAATAAAGTGGATCAGTTACACTTAGGTTTGCAGAATCTTTTATATGAAGTCGCTCACCTTGAAAATGAAATTCAAACATGTTTAGAATTTAGGTGAGTTGTATATTAGTGTTTGCTTATCTACTACAATAGGTCTCGACATGAAGATATAAAATTAATTCCGGTAGAAGAGTTCTATGAGAAAACTGGGCGCAAAGTAGTTTTTGCTTTGCATTTTACAAATTTATAGGTTGGAAGCTTATCAGAACATCAGGAGACTTTGGAGCGTCTTCATTGGGAGCTTGAACAACGAAAGGCGTAATTTTCTTTTTATTGAATAGTTTAATGTATTTCAGTTTATCTGACTCTTGTGATAAACTAAAAAGTGCTGTTGAATCTACTTCACAAACCATTAAAAAGAAACGGAATTATTTAGCTAGTTTTGGTCCAAAGTTGAAGGATGTTGCTGAAGTAAGTTGTTTATTTATCATATTGGAGTTTATCAACTATTTTTAGAGTACTTTAATTATCCAGGAACTAATGGACTTACCATTTACTAACGAGAATGAACAGTATAATTTGGCGTTTCTTCTACCTTCACCACTGTATATTCTGTATTCTCTCTTAAAGTCATACATATCTATGTCAGGTAATTTAGAAAACTTTTCTATTTGAGTTGGATGAATTTTAGTCATTCCGGAACCAAAAAGAGGGTAGCGTATCCAGTTATTTAGATATAATTTAGTAACCATACATTTGTTTGTGCTTTCGATTTTGAGATGTAATGGTGACGATTAGTAATACTATTTGATTGTTTAAACAGTAGTAGGTAAGACGGGGTTCGAACTGGTAATATTACATACCTTGCTCAATTATCGACTTAGAAGTATACTATACTGATGACTTTGGGCTACTTGTTAGCCAATCTAAAATGTTTTTAGATATAAACGAATTAACACTAAATTAAAGTGGCTAAATAGCTTTTATATGATTAATGAACCCTTACATGTTACATGATCTATAATAAAAAGCGGAGGAAATTTAAGTATTAGTAATTGGGTTGTGGTTATGGATAAAGATTATGGTTTTCATCACGAACTGAACTCAGGTATAATCCAATGATATTCTGCCAAACTTTTGTTTCTAAACTTATAAAAGCTAGGTTGAGGATTCGGAGCTGGGAGTTCGAGTGGGAAAATACTTTTTAGCTACACAAGCATCCTTGACTGTGAATTAAAACACATTAAGTACTGACAATTTTTACTTAGTTTATAGTAAGATACATGTTATCACTCACTGCGCATTGAATTTAACGGAAAAATCATGAAAGCAATCTCTTAGTTTTAGTTGGTTCATATGGGGCCGTCAGTGTAGTATACTTCTACCATTGTTTGTTAAGTCAGCTTCATCTGTATTTGTCAGTGAGTGTCCATCGTTCTTCCTCGTATGTAATATGGGTTTATTTTGGTTTTGCTAGTGGCTAAAAACTCGTCGTTCGGTAGCTAATGAAACTTTAGACGTGATTTTCATCCCGTTTAAGGCTTTTTACCTGCGTACTAATACTAAAACTTGAACGCATTATTTATAAGGTTAAACATGAAGGCGTTATTATACTACCGAGTTAATTTCCCACTAGTCGCGTTTTTGACCACCAGACTCCTTATGCATTTACTCTGATACACCATTTTTATTTGTTATCCTATTCGATTGAGTACTTCTTACTTTGTATGTTTTCTGCAATAAATTATGCTCTCGTTGGGACCGACAATAGTGACTGTGACACCACAAGTTCCCACTGAATATTAAGCTTTTATAGAGTCACTTCTTTTACAAAGCTAACATATGTAATATACATGTGTGTAACAATAAAGCTAAAGTGTTTAAACACTTGTCGAGCCAACTTTCTAAGCAAAAAAGAAATTGAATATGAACAGTTATTATTGACTTTCACTGTTTTGAAATTACGATTGCTCACCCACTTTTTCCGTATTTTCTTGGTAGGTTTTTTAGTCATGTAATAAGAGAAATGTAATTTTATATGTAATTGTTGTTTTAATAAATATATTTGAACATTGTTGTATGATCAATGAAGCAAGTTATTTGTTGTGAATTTAACCGATCGATGTATTAACTAATAAAAAAAGTGACAGCCTAGTATTTCTAAAACTCATCGACTACAATTTCATTTCTTTGATGTGTTCGGCTAAAATATAATGGGTTCTGATTTTCGTCCTAACATGAGTTGGAGTTTCTTTACTATATTTTTTATAGTGCCGTTATTAGCTACTTGAATACAGATAATATATTGCTAATTAAACTATTTTGTTGAGTTGTTCTTCTTGTTGTAGGAAAAAAATCAGAATTTTCTGTATCAATCGAAGGTGATTCGGAATTGGCCAAAGCTGTTAATCAAACAACAGAACAAACGGAATCCCAGTCTTCACCACAGGAAGCTGATGATTCTGATGTAGATGATGGAGAGGGGAATAAAAAACGCGTTAGTTTTAGTTTTATTTTTTATATGCGATATTCAAATTAAAATGGAACATTATAGAATTAGTTCATGAAGTCACCGATTGTTAGTCTATTATGTGTAAGTGGCAACGTGTTTTGAGGTTCTTGTTACCTAAATAAACTTATTATTTATGAGTGCTGAGGTAACTGACTTACTGATTTGAATACAATATGTTACGAGAAATTAGTACATTGATCCGACAAGGCAAATAAAATACTGAAGTAAAGCTAAAAGGAGAAGTAAACACAGGACTATAAAATTAATAATTGTATGTTATCAAGTTATTCAGAATTTGAGTTTAAGGTAAGGAATGATTTTGTTTATGGTAAGTTGTGTTTTTGTGTGTATTTTACGTGCACTATCACAGTAGATTAGTTAAGGGTTTATACAACCATAATAATGTATTACTAACAGTTAATAGAAACTATTATTTCTATGGTTTTTCATCGATATGCAGAAATAGACCGATATAACTTTAATGAACTGAATAAAATGTCATTAGCCATTGTGTTGTACGCCGAATTTCTTACTTTTTTTTATTATAAAGATAATTCTTTATACTAATGGTAGTCATACGCGTAAATCATTTGAAAATGTAAATCCTACTACTTGTTAAGTAATCGTTTTTAAACTCTGATTCTGCTTTTTATTAGAAAAAGAAACGTTATGCGACAGAATGCATCGATGATACAGATAAAGAGTTTATCAATGAAAAGACTATTAAATTCCATCCATTAACTGTTTTGTTAACGGTTTCTGTCCCTAAAAATTCAGGTGAGATTTATTTCATATTCCTTCATGTTTTTTGTTGTTGATGAAACTATACCCGTAGATAGTTTTTTTTTCCAAGAAGTAGGGATTACAACTTAAATTATTGTGATTGGCGAATTGTATAAATTTGATATAATTTACTTTACAGTTAAAATGCAACTCAACTCATATTTAAGGATATCGTTGTACACTAAAAGTTTGTGCAATAAACAGATAAATGAGATTTTTTTAACTGATAAAATAAAATGTTTGTTTGTGTAAGTAATAATCAATATGACCTATCATTTAGTTATATGCTCCTACCGTTCCCTTCTCATACCAGTAAGTCTGATAGGGAAAGATAATTTTAGTGTTCAAACTACCCTGTTATTATGACCCAGTTGGAAGATATTTTGACAAAATCAGGTTGTAAAATACACCTTTTCATTGACTATAAACTTATAGAAGTTGCACCAATCGTAACAACTATGAAAAACAGTACTTCTTTACTATAGGGTCAAATTATATGGTTAACGCAAGTTTACATTTCAGACGTGAGAAACGTCTATATGAACACTGCGCTCTTATCTTCAATTAGAAAAAAAAAATAAAATTCTGCAATTTCATTCGAACTAAGTTTTATTTCACACAAATATATTAACAAGCATCCTATAAAAGTAATTAATTTCCTTCTTTCTGTAGATATACCATTGAGTGAACGTGGTTTTAGTATAAAATTATCATTTGCTTGGATGTTAGATTTACATCTGGTAACGGTGAGATTACAGTTTTCAGCAGACAAAACTGATTCACTTCCCCGATCAAAAACTGGAAAGTGAGTAGCTGACAGCACGTAATCATTGGACAGTAAACTTTTCTATTTCATGTTATCATTTTTGATTGTGTATAAAAGTCATATTTTGTATGAGTGATTATTTAGTTAGACATTGAATATAACTGTAATTTCTAGCTGTTAAAAAGAGAGAAACAATTACACACCTTATGCTGTTAGTTTTAAGACAGATATACGACAGAGCATGATAAAGTTTGGATACTTTTACGTGTATGGGTTTGATTTTCGTCAGGATTATAGTATTTTATGGATTCTGTTTAAGATACCGTCAAGACTTCATAACTTAATACCATGTTTCAATATCGTCATTTTGAGATTTCCTTCATGTTTATCTTGCTTAAGCACCATTGGGCGTTTGATTACTCACTGATTTAGCATTTTTAATGCAAACCCCAAGATATCTCGATGCATAAGTTTTCGTGAACCCACCTAAACCTCACAGTTAATATTGTTTGCGCTATTATCAGTGACATCAGTTGACACATCATCAACTTTGTCCATGTTTCATGGTTGTATGGTAAAACACAGTGTCCAGTTGTTCTGTACTCTTGAATATCCCATAAATGTTATTTAAGGAGTTGGGTGGCAAATCTTAGTTGAAGCTTCTGTGTTTGCAAGAAGATTTTAATAAATATTAGGGTCGATAGTCAGTCAGTCAGTAACAACGTAGAACTTCGTACGTACGTATATCAGTTCGAGTTTCCATACCACATTAGCACAGAGATACAATTGTCGATTCAAATCCCATAGTGATAGAGGTAGTAAAAGTATAAGCAGTAATCGGAAAGATTAGGGTTTGAAGATGTTATTCAATGAGTATAATCCAGTGAAATAAATTTGGAAAGAAAATAAGGGGCATAAAGAATTCAGAAGATTATAATTTGGGAGAACACAAAAAGTGGATGCACCTGCGCTATTGCAAACGATTTTAAGCCATGTCATTCAAGGTCTCTTACCATCAGTTGCTATAATCTCGCGGACCACAACCAGATAGTCTACACCTACCAACATAGCTAAGTCCACTTGTTAGTGACTTCATGGATTTGTGCCATGTTTTGGTCTGGCCGCTCCTAGATTTCTTCCAACCTACTCTTACACCAGAAAACATCGCACGTCGGGGCAGTTGGTGGTTGGGCATAAATAACACGTTTCCCAGCCATCTCAACTGATGAGGTTTCACTACTTGATCAATTGATTTGCCGTCCTTACCTAGTACCTGTTTCCTAACAACTGTATTACTTACTCGGTGGTCTCAGGATATATGAGCGATGCTTCGAAGATACCTATGGTCGAATACTAATTACTTACGAATATCCTCTACTCTTACCGGCCATGTTTCACAGCCCTAAAGTAGTTAGGGTCGATAGACTTGCAAGGGTAAACAAAACAGTGGAAAACGTTACCAAAAGTGCATTTTATAAAGTTTATATTTTCTCACACTAACAGAAAAATTAGACTAATGTTTCCCAAATATTTCTTCACTTTCCATTTTAAGTAATACTAGAGACACTACTGTATCCTTTACTTACTGTAATTTTCGGCCAAATCACCCCTTGATGGGAAATCGATATAAATCAAGTTGATAACAAAGTCTAAGTAAAATTTTACGAACACGTCTGAAACCAGTTAAGATTGTTTGTTGGATACGAGATAACGTGGTTTATTATTGGGTGTATGTTTCTGAGCCTTCCATGTGTTAACTCTAGATCATATCAAAATTAAGTGTATTTATCACTTCCGGAAAGCCCTGATCCTGTTCCTTACACAGATGAAATTCAAAAATGAATTGAGATTGGTAGAATCTTCTGACAATGTTCCCTCTTCAGCCATTAGTGTCCAGGTATGAGTTCGAAAGAACTGTAATGTTTAACCGTTCTCTTTTAACCATGCCTCGAGTGTTACGATTTTTATGTGTACCTCGTATGTTTAATTTAAAGCGAAGTTAGATTTAGTTCCATCCGTTTTTCTGAAATTCACTTTTTTATATTGTATTTTTATAGTAGCTTGCTTAATTCTGAACAGCTTTTGTCCAGTTTACAATGGTCTTGTGACCAACTTCGCTTCGGTGGTTGTAGTTCAGATATACCTATTTTATTTCTTCCTAATTCACAAAAATCGATTACATGGAATGCATGCGAATCCGTCGGACGACCATATTCGTGGGCTCAACAACTATCAGGCATTAACTGCTTTCCAGATAGGTTATCTGATAATAAATTATGTGAACAATCACCAAAATCTACCGATTCAGAACATTTTGGGGAAATTGAATCTTGGTTAAAATCTCTTCAATCGCGAATTATTGACAGACTATATCTTATTGAAGAGGTGAGTGTACACTTTTGCAGATCTACCACATAGCACTTCTCATTCATTTCAATTTCATTTATATTGCGAGTCACTGCTTTCTGTTGGGGTTTCGGAAAAAATCTGAGCGTTATAAGCAAGAAAGTACTGATCTTCGAATCGGGTTTCAGCAACTACTTAGCGATGATATTAGTCTTGATAGTGGTTTAAATATTAAGTGATTGTATATACTGTCTATAAGTTGGATTTTTGTGATAACTAATAATGCTATTCAGGTTGTTCAGTGACCAAGATTCAACCTTATTACAATATTGGTAAAAGTCAAATATGTAATCTAGAACTCTTTTCAAAACATAATTATTAACTTTCATCATGGTCCACTGCCCACATTAGTTGGTTCCCACAAATGATTACTTTAGTATTATCATATGGACAAGGAAGTTGTCTATTGAGTTCATTACTCTCACTAAGACTGTAACAGTAATTAATTGAAGTGAATCTATAAAATTTTAAATATTTTCACACTTAAGTGGATCCCTGGTGTTTTTGTTGTCATCTTCATTTTATGGATATCACCTTTTTCTCAATAGTTTAACTGTTAGGGACGTTAGATCCCCAGAACTCACTTGCAAAAGGTCCTAATTTTGTGGTTTTATTTTGAAAATTTGAATTTCTTCATTTTCTCGCCAAAGCGCTCTTTTCACCTTCACGCCATATTTCCCACTTGGGAGAATCTTAAACGCTATTGGTCCGTTGTATCTTTTAGTATGCTATTTTGTAACGCTTCTCAAGGACGGTTTTGTGCTGTATATATGCGTTTTGATTTGTGTCTGTTGTTATCACTCGTGCTTCTGGCTTTTTGCGGAATATACTTCCCCGTACGGACTTCAACTTCTCTTTCTAGTTAGCGGGGCTGGGACGTATCACAATAGCTAATTTATTGGTCTTTGGTCACAAATCTTGTACCGTTCTCAGACTAAGTGAACTCTTAATCGCTTCAAACATAGCATTAACTATATGAAGAATTTTTGTTTACAATCTTGTTTCTTTTAATTATTATGTAGTTTTTGCATGATTTCGTCTAGAATTGAAAACTTCGTTAATCCGTTCCGATTTATGGGTTTATTATAGAGCTAATTTGAATATTTGATATTGGCATTTTGTTTCTCAGTCATATAAAATTATTCAAACCAGTCTAGTTGCTCCATTCAAACAGTAAACTTATATTTGTCTCTTTAACGTTATCAGCTAGTTATTTTGTTACTGGGAAACGATCCTATTGAGCTGTTTCTTAAGTGAATATTAAACGTAGAAAACTCTATGTATCACATTTGGAATAGTTTATTACTCGCTTTGTAAATAACTGTAGAGATACAGTACATGACAATGATCCAGTGTAAACAGGTTAATCGAACAGAACGATGCATTCAAGTTAACATTACCTTGATTCAATCTTAGTGATACTTTTGAGAAATAAGTATAAATTGGCACTAAAGCTCAAATCCTATTGAATCTTTTGATAGACGAATGTTAACTTCTGTGTATAAGTTCATTGACAGGCTATCTTTAGCAACGAAATAATAATAAAAATAATATCAAACTACTTGGGTTCTTATCTTTGTACTACAACCAACTTTTTATTAACACATTAAAGAGGTATGTTATTTTTAGATTTGAATTAAAAGAAGCAAGTACCATGTTAAGGTTTGGGCAAAATTAACTCTTTTATTAATTGCTAAAGATATATTGTACTAAATAACTCCTACGGATCCCAACTTATTTTTTGGAATTTATTTATTTACGCCTGTTACCCCTCGTGGAGGAGCATAGGCCGCCCACCAGCATTCTCCATCCAAATCTTTCCTGGACAATACCTTTGCGTAGACAATTGTTTATAAATACTTGCACCTTCTTGATGGTGATTGTGGTAGTTTTCAAAGTTTCAGCTCCGTACAGTAGGACTGTTTCGACTTTCGTATTGAAGATTATCAGTTTGATATTGGTTATTTTGAGTTCCATGTGTTCTTCAACTGTAGGAATGCAGTCCTTACTTTCCCGATCTTCGCCTTTACATTGGATCTTTCTTGTTCATCGATGATACTTCCCAGTTACGTGAAAGTTTTCACATCTTCCAGAGCTTCTCCATCAAGGGTGATTGGATTGGTGTTCTTTGTGGTGTATTTGAGGATCTCGCTTCTTCTTTTTTGTATATTGAGGCCTACTGATACCGAGGCTGCTGCTTCACTAGTTGTCTTTATCTGCATTGTTGGTTTGTATGGAATAGAAGGGATAGGTCATCTGCGAATTCCAAACCATTTAGTTCATTCCAAACTGTCCGTCGTATTCTATGCTTCTCCTCTGATCTTGAAGTCTTCAGACTAGTCAGTCACCAGAACAAAGAGGAAGAGGGAGAGTAAACAGTAATACTCGACTCCGGTCCTCACATGGAATGCATCTGTCAACTGTCATCCATTCAACACTTTGTACTGTAGTCCGTCGTATGAATTCTGTATGACGTTTACAATTTTCCCAACTACTCACACCATAGTGTGGAAGAAGTTCCCATGCAATTCTTCCATTCACAATGTCGAATGATTTCTCATAATCGAGGAAACTTAGTGAAATATAGTGATGCTTTTGATTCATCTGATTGCTCAACGATTTGGTCTGTGAACAACAGATCCATACGGAATCCAATCTGTTGATCTTGAATTTGGACATCTACTGAATGCTTCATCCGGTTCAGCAACACTCTGTTGAAATGTTTTCCTAGCACTGATAGTAGTGTGATGACTGTGTACTTCTCACACTTACTCAGATCTCCTTTCTTTGATATCTTGATGGGGTGTACTTGTTTCCAGTCTGTCGGCACTTCTTCTTCTTCTTCTTCTTCTTCTTCTTCTTCTTCTCGGATCTTCATGAAACTCCCTGAATAGAATGTGGATCATGTTTGCAGTTGTTTGTATGTGTGACTTAAGTGCTTCAGGTGATATATTGTCAGGTCTCACTGCTTTCCCAGTGTTGATTTAGTCGATGGCCATCCTGATTCCCTCGATGGTTTGTGGAGTGGCATGCATAGGAAGGTGTGTGTGTGTGTGTAGGTGGTTGCTTCGATGTCTGGTGGATCCATTGTAGCTGGTCTATTTAAGAGTTTTTCGAAATTATTCTATCGATCTATTCATATGTTCTTGAATTTCGTTGATTTTCTTGCCTTCTTTGTCTTTGACCGCTCTTTCTGGTTTACTGAATTTCGATAGAGATCCATTTCGCATGATGATGTCACTAGCGGCTCAGCACCTCCTGACACATTAAAGTGAACGCTTCTTTGATCCCTTTCCAGCTGTCCTTGATAGTAGTTTCTTCTTTGAGTAGATCTTGTAAGTCTGGAAACCTGTTGTTGAGAGTTATCTTGAATTGGTTGAGTTTGTTAGTACCTCATAGGAAGGCTGTATTGAACATTTGTAATGCTGTTTCCCCAGTTTTACAATGCTTCTTTAGCTTCAGTTTCATCTTGATCACAATCGGGCGTTCTTCTGAATTTTATATTGATACAGATATGATCTTTATGGTTCTCTGTGGTGTGATCCAGTGAGACCCATGTAGCTTTGTGTATGCGTTTGTGTGGGGATATTGTGCTACCTCTAACCATTTTATTGAATACACATAGGTTTGCGAATCTCTCCCCATTTTCGTTTCTCTCTCCCAGTCTATCTCCCATAATATCTTCATACTCGGTGTTGTCCATTCCGACTTTGATGTTTAGGTCTCCCATCAGGATAGTGAGATCCTTTCTTGGGCACTTCGCTATGATTGATTGCGGCCTGTAGTAGAACTGATCTTTATCCTCGTCGTTGCTATGATTGGTGGGTGCATAACATTAGATAACATCGTGACTCCTTTATTTTGAAGGATGTTTTGATGTTCCTGGGTTCATGAGATTCCCACCCTACAAGTGCTTTACGTGTTTCGTTGGACAGCATCAGAAAAACTCCCGGAATGTGTGGAGCATTTTTATCTTCGTGACCAGAGTACAGCCACATCTAACCTTTTCTGTCTAGCTTGTGTCCAATAGGTTTCACGTTTTCCGAGCACCGTCAAGTTGTATCTCCTCATTTCCGTAGCTGTTTGATTAGTCCTCCCGGTCTCCCATATTGTTCAAACATCCCATGTGCCTATACTAGTTGTTGCTGTGGTTGTTAGAAGGGGCATCAGCCTCGTGACTTTGGAAGAATCTGGGCTTTTTTCCCGAGGCGTCATAATTCTTCCTTCAACTCCCAGGAGCGAGTTTAAATGGTTTAAATTGTTTTTTCTGGTTGGCCTTTTTCTAGAAGGATTTTTTTCTACGGGATGGGGTTGCTGACCCCATGCCTAACCCTCCTCCTTTACGCGGGCTTGGAATCGGCAGTAAACCTAGAAGAGCCACAAGCGGAGTCAGGGATTTCTTAGTCTGCTAAACGTATTTTTCGTCATGAAGTATAGACTACTGTCAAGCAGTAAGTAGTACGGAAGTGTATCCTATCAAACTATGTACATTAATAAGTCATTTATTCACTAATGACTGAAATTTACGTTTATTATAACTGTCAGAACGTAGTTTCTATCTGTCCAAAGGTATTCTTAAACCTAAGAGGGAATCATTAGCATTAGTAATTAAAATATAAAAAAACGGTAAGAAAAGACCTCAAGTACGTTGAGTACGTTGGAGTATCGTATTTCATATTGAATTTACTAATTAAGGTAATTTACTTAATGAGACATATTATCGGGCTTGTTAAATTAACTTTGTAACATCATTTTTTTAAAGGGTAGAGTTATTTTAAATACACTAGATTGAGGATAATACTTTTCTTAAATTTTCATTAAAATAGGATGGTTTCATAAGTAGTTCGAAGTATCAAACTAGGAGACAGAATCTATGTATTGAGAATACATTATAAATGTAAACTTAACAATCGAGTTCAAGTAGGAACTAATCCTGATAAATCTAGACTTTTGTAATTACTTTCACTACACTCAGATAATAATTTTTTCGTCGTGTTCCCTCAATCCTTCATTGTTACTGCTTTTACTGTTCGCAAAATTAGCTTTCAGAAATTGAACGCTGCAACTTGTTGTTATCACCCGAGCAACAACAGTTAATCCCCTCTGATGTTGAACTTCACATTATTCGGTGGAAGAATTCTGATTTTGAAACTTTACAGGTGATTTATTTTTATGAAGTTGTTGTATATTAGGTTTACTTTATGTGAAAAAATGTTTTGTTTCAATGTATAGTATTGTATTGTGTGTTGGTTTTGATAGTATTGATGATCATATATTTAACTCCAATTATAACAATTAAAACATTTTCATTTCTCATCATGTTTAGTAGTATCCTAACGGTTACTTTCATTATTGTTAAGTGACTTCAACTAACTGTTCAAAATACAGTTTACGGTCACTTGGTTATACTTTTAAACACATTCATATGATTAGCAACTTCAAATACATACATACTAGCATTAATTGTCGTGCATTATTTTGATGAAATTGACTGTCCAATATGTAAATGTTAACTATGATTAACTTGTTATTCGTCATTCTTGTTAATGTCTATCTACATTTATCGTCTTTTAAGGCCCTATTTTTATTTTTTTTTGTTTATAGTCCGTTCCTCGTGCTCAGGTTATGATAGCTTTAAATGTAATTCGTTCTGAAGACTCAGTATTCCAGTGTCACATTGGAAGAGATGAAAACTGTAGGTTAACATGATTTTACTTTATATTTTCTATGTGATATTTTTCTAAATTTTTCATTACTAAGGAATTTTAATCATATAATCCAAATCCTGCGCTAGTGTGTAGGTCACAGTTCTGTGTGTCTGCTGACATTCGTAGTTCACTAATTGAATTGAAACGGATAGAATTATACATTGAACATCTGGCTAGATAACGTAAGAGTTTAAACACTCGTCTTCTCGGTTGAAACCTAACTTTGCTTAGGTTAAGCAAAGTATTACCGCTTTTTTCTCACATAAGTATGTCTTGTTGCTGAGTATTACATGGTTGTTATTGAACTTCATTCTAACTGATCCTCCTGTATGACTCTTCAATTTATCCGTAGAATTTATTCTTAATTCGTAGCTCATGTATGTTTTGGCTTACTTTTTCAGATTTTGTCACTGTATGGGTCTGTATCCCACCTCAGTATCCACATAAAGCGCCATTACTAATTATGGACGGTTTAATCAATTTTGTCAGTCCCAGTGGTACACATAATACGGAGGATGTTGTCACTGACTTATCTGATCTCCATATACAGGTAATTTCTAATTATTTATTAATTATTGTTAAATATAACTGACTATCATTTCAGTTGAGGTCCATTTTTTAAAATATATGTTTTACAAAACGACCCAACAACAGAACACTAAGATTTGTATTTCCATATACTTAGTCACCGGGATGGTAAATAATTCCTACCTATGTATTTGACACATGCTTTATTATGTTGTTACATCAATATCGTACATGTATTACTTATTTATGTGGCTTACCACACTCAAAAAGAAATCTAAGATTGTATATTTATCACATTAATACCTATCTGGGAAATTATGTGAAACTCCTTAGCAGTGCTCATGGATGCGAACGCTCGACTTCTAGACCACTGAGCCGGCATTTGACGGTGTTCATGTCTAATTCCAACGAATCCATGATCTTTTACAACCCTTAATCCATTGTCTTTGGTGAATAACTGTCTCACACTCGACACGGATTGAACTCAACTGATCACAGCTTCTCACTAGAACCCTAAAAATAACATCTTGAACGTAGTCACTAGTGAGCATATGACTATTATTAGTATGAGGGATTTATGGAGATTGTAGTATTTTTACAGTTGAAATCACGAGCTGATGTTGGTCCGCAAATCTTTCATACTAATTACATTTGAGTTAAACAGGAATTCACAACGTTTTTAAACATACTTAAGATTGTTAACAAAGTCTCAAAGTTCCAGTTAATGACAAATAATAGTTGCATACTTTCTCCATAAAGTTAATTGTTTATATTTTTTGTGGTTTTAGATGAAATTTGTCAGTAGTCACGCTACCCCAATGATTAAATTAATATTACCATTTATTAAATAATCTCTTTGTAATAACATTATGCATTACAAAAAAATGTTATCATTAATCTAAGTAAATGTTTGTTATGTATATCCAAGTATTATAGATCGATTTGTCTAAAAGTTGTGGAAAAATTATTATTACATAATTTCTGTATATATCCACATATATGGGTTTTCATTTTTGTATGAAGTATTCAGTCAAGATAATATGATCTATCACGTAAAAAATGAATAGTTTAAAGTAAGACTCATAAAGTAACCAATGATTATTCAACGAAATTATTACTGATTATATGCTTTTATTAAGTGATTTCATATAATCTGTAAATATTTAGAAATGAACGAATTCACATCGTAAATTTATTCTGTGATTTTCTTTTATGAAAACCAGTTAATACTTTCAAGTTGTTAAAATAATTCAGTTAACTTTTTGTTGTTGTTGTTGTTGTTATAAAAAATCCCCCTACTTCAGGAATTAGAAACTGAAGTCAACTGTTATTGGCAAGAATTTTTCACTTCATCTATAAATCAAAATAATAGTCATACGGTTGTAAACTATGTTGGTAATACTAATGATATTACTTCTAATAATATTATAAATTCCGATAAGTCGTTTTATAATGGTAATCAGTGTGTCGGATTAAGTAAATGGAATCGAAATATATTATCTTGTCAGTTAGCTAGATGTGCTGCTTGTATCGATGCATTATGTCGTGACCAAATAATTTGGAAAAATTCGTTGAAATCAACAAACAGTTCATGTGTTCGTTCTGTTAGGTAAGTAAACATTTTTTCTATGCTGTTTGGTATTTTGCATATCTTCTTGGTGGTATGGGAATAAACTTTGAAATTTTCATATTGTTTAATCACTCCTCGAGCCTAAATACTTATGGGTCAAGTCTGAGATTACTTAAAATATATCATGTTGAGTATGATTAAATAGTGAAATTATTAGTCTAACATTTCGTCTTAGGACTGATAATACTGTCCAGTTATTCAAAATTTCATTGGTAGTTTTAATTTCGAACCCTTAGCCTATTGGATGAAAGTTATACACTTAAACATTTATTATGTTCGTCAACATTTTCTGTACAAAATAAAGCAGTAGCTTACTAGATTTAAAACTATACTAATAAGTACAATCGTAAAAGGTTGTGATAAATATTTTTCTTCATGAAATCTCTTGGTTCTCACACTAAAGAATTGTATACAAACTTCGGATCTTGTATTTTAATTTGTTGGGTACAATCTAACACGTTTATGGAACATGATTAGTTGATTTTATTTCATTTAACTGTTCATTTGTACAATATATATACTGTATTAATTTAATCAAAATCAGCTGTTAGTAACTTTCCAAATAAATTCGTTCCCAAAATATGTTAAATGGAGCAAATTTCAAGGAAAGTTATCAGCCTGTTGAAAAAAGTTGGTATATATTCGTTACATTTACAAGCAGCTTTAAAAATAGCGAGTAGATTCGCTCGTTGATTCACAGAGTATTCTCCTTCTAACCAATCAGTTTCCCTGTGTTAACATCTAAGTTCAGAATTTTACTTGAGTGTTCCTTAAACGATTTCAAAATTTCACTAAGTGTAGATATACCTTAGAATCTGGTAGTCAGAATTCACTTTTTGAGTTGAAGGTAGAGACACAACATCTAATTACTGCTAAACAATATTCCCTTATGAACTAATGATAGTAAGAAGCCTGGGATCAACAGAACAACCTATGAGGTTAAATGTATACTTTTGTCTAAATATTTTGTGTTTCAGTGTTTGAACGTTAAAGTTGTGAACTTATTTTTATGATTGTATATCGGGTGTAAAAAAAAACCTACTCTATTTATATCTTAATAAACAATCTTATATAGTGTACTCCTCCAGTTAATGTCCTTTTTATCTATGGTAGGTTTTATGGTTTAGAATTATTTATTTTAAAAAATCTTTTATTTAAATTAATCATACATGGACAGAAATCTCTTTTTAACAAATAGTTTTTTTTCCTTATTTTAGGTTGATAGTTTACTATGTCAGTTTTATTTGTGTATATGTATGACCTATATTCTATTTATTGAATTGAATTCAGTTTGAATGCTTCATAGATAACATGTTCTTCTGTGTTGTAACTATTAAAAAAAATTTTTTTTCTTCTAATAGGTATCCAACAAGAAGTCGTCCTCTTCGTTACTTACCTTCACCGGGTGCATTTGTTCATCGTTAATAATATCTACAGATTGTTTTCCACTCATCTCTTATTATTTGTATAAGTGTACTTAAACGCTTCGGATATTTTTGTAAATCTTTATTATTATTACCTTTCTGTTAAAAGGAATGTAATTTTTCCTTATTGTCTAGTTTTTTTAAAAAATATATATATATGCTACAATTTTTGTACTGATAGACTCTAAACTGGATAACATTATTGCATTTTTATAGTAAATCTGAACTAAATATACATTGGTTTGTATATAACATTTTGATAGAAAATGATTGACGTGTCATTTGTTTTCAACAACATTGGAAATGAATGAAAAGTTCAATTCCTACTAGGTGGTTTTTAAATCAATAAATATCCTTCCCTAAATGTTTAAATTCCGTAATAACATTTGCTATTTCAGTTAACTAACTTTCTTTTTGTCAACCAAATTAAGAATTTTTCTGTATATGACCTTTGGAGGTAGATCAAACCGTGAATTTCAGTTTATGTTATATGGATTACTTTTTGTATCGTTATCAGTTGATGGGTCGGTGATGAAATTCATTTAGCTGATTGTTTTTTTAAAAAAACCCTAAATTCCATCGAATGCTACTGTATTGATGTGAGTTGTTTAGTTTGTGTTCAAACGATGATCTATTAAAATGTTCATGAGTGGAGAAAAAAAACCAGGGATTAAAATCAAGATATTCAGAGAGCGTTTGTAGAATAAATAAGAATTAAAATTTTCAGCAACAGTTTAGATATTCAAACAAGTTCCTAATGGTGTAGTCAAATGGTTGTTTTGTCAGAATCGCTGCTTTTTGGAGAGTGATCTCATCAACGTTAAGTGCTGAGATGACGTAGTTCTTTTTGACGAGGATTTTAAAATAATTCGGGTTTTTTTGGGTCTTCAGTAGCAACGCAAGTTTGTTTGAGATTCAATTCTGTTCCTCTAAGTTAGAAATGTTGCTTCAGGACTGGTTTGCGTCAGTGTTTTACATTTCGTTTTCTAAATTTCTAGTTTAGTGTAATTTCATACGTTTAATTCAATGTTATGTTTATCTTCCGGATTATATCTTCTATGTTTGGCATTCCACCACAGTTATTATTTTAGCTTCCTTACTTTTCAGCGCTTCAATTTATTTGCAATGTGTGGTAAAATGGATGGTAATGCACTTGTGCCAGGCCATGAGTTATCTATGACTCGCTATCTGTCGGGGATGAATAGACTTCTGAATTTCGATTGTCGTAATAACTATTAATTTTATGCTTGTTAGCACGTCATACAAAAGTTTCTTTCATCGGGAATCCATGATTGCCATTAGTCGTTATTAATCGAGCCAATATTGATATGATCTAGTTGCAAATGACATTTCCGTGCTACATGTGTGTTGCAGTGTGTCCTCGCAGTTGATTTTATAAGTTCTTGGGTTGTTGCTGCCGCGGAAAAATGAAGAAAAATATTTTAAAGACTATCTTTCAAAAGAAGAGCTACCCAATCAAGTTCATCAAAAAAATCAAACAAACGCATTAGCAGAAACAAAATCAGGTACAGAAACCAACAAACGGATCATCCATATATAGAAGACATATCAGAAATTACGAGATGGTTGAAGCCTTTTGAAATAGGTGTAACACACAAATTAAAATCACTTTAATCAATCCCATGCAAATTAAAGGTCGTAATGACAAATTAAGGGAAGCCGAATATCTACAAAATAAATTATTTCAACTGTGAAAAGCACTACATCAGACAAAGCGGACAGCCTCTTCATCTTTGACTGCATGAACATCAATTAGCGGTTAAACGCCATGACATATATTTCGCTTATATCAATGCATGCGGACATACATTCAACTGGGAAAATGTTTAGATCTTAGAGGGCATGCCAAAAGCACCAGGGAATTTTTAGAGGCTTGGCAGTCAGGTCAGTCAGCAATCAACAAACACACTGAAATCGATCCGATTTATTAACCAATCGAAAAATTATGTATAAATATAGGACCAAAAATCAAATGAAAGGGAGATACAACCAAAATAAAGAAGTGAACAATGACAAGTTAGAGATCAACCAAGATCGAGGTCTACAAGACAAGCTGTGAGTTATATGTGGAGAAATTCGAACACTCCACTCCTACCTGAAGTTTGTGCTGATGATGTCGTTTGGAAGAAGGATGACAGCTCCAAGACAAAAGCATCCAGCCCAGCGTATAAAACTTCACTAAACTTATTTGACATTTCTAACCATTTGTTTTATCATGTTACTTGCCGATAACGGATCAAATGTCAGGTCAACTATTGGTCCCTTGTTCTATTAGTTTTAGTAGAAGTGAGGTTAGTATTGCTTTAATGTGCAATTTATTTTTAATCAAAATTTTAGCAACTAACTCAAGTCAACAAATAAATGTATCCATATTCGGTTTCAACATTATTGCTTACGCTTTTCAGTGGTTTGTATAGTCTGAAAATATATGTACTCTCGAACAGACTCAGTGTACCATTGAATACCTGTCTCCTTTTCGTCTAGGGCTCGTCAGAAGTGTATGCTTATGACTATTTACAATTGTTATGCTTATAGAAACCAAACGATTCCTGATTTGAGTGTGATGCAGATATCATAGATTAGGAAAGGAAACCAAAGTAATAAATAAACTTTTGAATTACTAGTTAGTTTTACTAAAGCCATCTTCCTTATTTAAGGTAGTAGTAAGCTGACGATATGCTATGGTTAAACGTGTATCTTGAGTGTTTCACAATTTTAACTCAATAAGCAGAAAAATACTTTCAAGAATTCAGACTTTTCCCAAAAAAAGTTCCAGTGAGTGATTTATAGTATGAAAGATTGACTGTTTACGAGTAAGAGCGTAGTGATTATCATTATCATTGAAATCATATATCTTGTCTAAGGGTGTGTATTTGTATTTCATTTAATACGCTAATCAACTTCTATAAGATCACATCAACTAGTGATCAATAATTATTGTCATTCATTCTATCTACCTGTTTGTCTTACACATAGAATTATGTTATATGGTGTTATTATATGCACTACAAATTTCGACATTTTAAATGATTTATGGTAGTATAAAAAAACAGCTTTCTACATTATTATTTTAAATCTCCTGCTATGCATAGGGAATTTGTTTTCTTTTTATTACAGAATCTGAAAAAAACTCATGTAAGGTATTGTCAATAACTGGCAGCATTTCTAAGCAATTAAGGTTTTTCTTAAAAAGAAACTAAAGATTTTCCAACTATCAACCGACATTTTGTTCCATTAGTTACCACTGTGAAGTCGAAAACTGGGACAAAATGACTGTCTTACATTTCATTTCTTTTCATACTATTCATAGTCCATTTCTCTTTAACTGATGTTGTATTGTAATGGGAAATTCAAATGTAAAGAAAATGATACATTGATAATGGTAATTGTTAGAGAATATATAACAATGGAAACACCTAATAAAAATACCAAACTTCTAAACATGGGTATTTAAATGACCAATATTTGTTTAGGTAAATTCTTATCATACTCTACAACTACAAACTCAAATTTAATAATGACATTTTAGGTAACTACATTTTTAATAACAAAGACTATGGGTTTGCCAAGGTGGTCGCAAGAATTGTCAGGTCTTATTAGATGGGCTAAGATCTCTTCTCGAACGATAATCGCTCGCATACCTTCTACCAATTCGATTTTCCGTATGACCATTGCCCTCTAATTGGTTATCATGTTTTTTTAGTTCTCTAAACTGCTACATGCTTGGTCATATTCTGCTACCATAGTAACAACATTTATACCAATTTTGTTCGGGTTGCTTGTTCTACCACATATATGAAATTACCTGCAATTTTGTTTTTTTTCCTGTCTTATCCGTTGAAGTTTGATGTGTTGAGTATAATTGACTGTTGGCAGTTACGAAGAGAACCTGTCGTATTAGAGAAGCTCACTTGTTTTCGTCCCTAAATTCCTAGCATCGTAAGCCGTTCCGAACCCTAATAGCAAAACACAACTGGGTTTAATGTTATTGAGGAAATTAGTTTGATAACTTTTGTATATGTTAAAAGAAATCGTACGTAATGTTTATATCTTAATTTGTTTGTAGATCAATTAGATTTGTCGAATGGAAATTCGGAATAAATAATAATGTCATTACTAGTCAACCTTATGTTCGACTAAATATTAGTTTGTGAAACTATATGAAGCACGTGAAAGTAAAATAGGATAAATGCCAAACAGTTTGTATAAGTGAGTAAGAAAAAAATGGCATAAAATAATTTTAAGAGTAGAAGCACGGTAACGCCTCTTAGAGTACTGTTGTCTAGAAAATATTCTGTTTATAATGCTCTCCTTTTGCATCCAAAAGTCGAATTTTTTTGCTAACAGATTATTAAATGTGAGATTCTGTAAATTTAGTTTGTGTTCATAGTGTTAGTAAACCTTTTGATTGCTTCAAAGTGTACAAACTCAATGAATATACTGAGTTGATGGCGGCCTGCTTGAATATCTGGGCTACCTCTCTTGCCATCTGATTATTTCAACAAGTTATCTGTTTTTCATTTGTTTTAATTTATAATTATGTCCATTAATCGCATAACCTATTCAGGCGCTTTTATGAAAAGCCTACGACCTTTCGCTGCACAAGTTACGAAAAAGTACTATAAAAGGCATCGTGGTGGTTGGCAATATGCGTTAAAGAGAATGAACATTAATCGTATGTCGATTCCTGAGCTACTAAATTCTAACTGTCGATCACTAATCAACAAAGTGGACTATCTGCAATTCCTGCTTAGTCAAAATACGTATCGTAATTGTGGTGTCCGCCTGTAGCTCTAATAGGGTTACTGCCGGTCCCAAGCCCGGGTAAAGGAGGAGGGTTGGGCATGGGGTTAGCGTCCCCATCCCGTAGAAAACTAACTCGCTAAAAAAACGCTTACCAGAAAAAATAATCCAAACCATTTAAACTCTGCCCTGGGAGTTAGAAGGTCTTCAGTTAGAAGAATTATGACGCTTCATGGTGAAAGCCGAGTTCCTTCGGAAGCCACGAGGCCGATGCCCCTTCTAACAACCAGAGCAAAAATTTTTATAGGTACATGGAACGTTCGAACAATGTGGGAAACCGGGAAGACCAGTCAAATAGCAATGGAAATGAGGAGATACAACTTAGCAGTACTGGGAATCAGCGAAACCCACTGGACCCAAGCTGGACAGAAAAGGCTAGCTACGGGAGAGATGCTGCTATACTCCGGTCACGAAAGGACAATGCTCCACACACTCAGGGAGTCGCTCTTATGCTGTCCAAAGTAGCACGAAATGCACTTGTAGGATGGGAGTCTCACGGATCCAGAATCATCAAAGCATCATTCAAAACAAAGAAGGAGGGGATCTTAATGAATATTATCCAATGTTATGCACCCACCAATGATAGCAACGACGACATTAAAGATCAGTTCTACGAGCGGCTGCAGTCAATCATTGAGAAATGCCAAGAAAGGACCTAACTATTCTGATGGGAGATCTAAATGCCAAAGTCGGAATAGACAACACTGGATATGAAGATATTATGGGACGACATGGACTGGGAGAAAGAAACGAAAATGGAGAAAGATTTGCAAATTTGTGTGCATTCAACAAATTGGTCATAGGAGGCACAATATTTCCACACAAGCGTATACACAAGGCTACATGGATCTCACCGGACCACACTACAGAGAACCAAATAGATCATATTTGCATCAACAAAAAATTCCGAAGGACAATGGAAGATGTGAGAACCAGGAGAGGTGCTGACGTAGCTTCAGATCACCACCTAGTTGTAGCCAATTTAAAACTGAAGCTAAAAAGAACTGGACAAGTGGACAAACAGCACTACAAAGGTTCAATACAGCCTTCCTTCGAGATACTGACAAACTCAATGAATTCAAGATAGCTCTCAACAACAGGTTCCAAGCCTTACAAGATCTACTGAAAGAAGAAGAAACTACTATGGAGGACAACTGGAAAGGCATCAAGGAAGCATTAACTTCAACGTGTCAAGAGGTTCTGGGCCTAAAGAAACACCATCATAAGGAATGGATCTCTATAGAAACACTGGACAAGATCAAAGAAAGGAAGAACAAGAAGGCAGCAATTAACAACAGCCGAACACGAGCAGAGAAAGTCCAAGCACAAGCTGAATACATAGAAGCAAACAAACAAGTGAAGAGGAGCATTAGAGCCGACAAGAAGAAATACGTGGAAGAACTAGCAACGACGGCAGAAAAAGCTGCTAGAGAAGGAAATATGAAACAGCTTTACGATACAACGAAGAAACTAGCAGGGAAATACAGTAAACCAGAGAGGCCGGTCAAAGACAAAGAAGGCAAGCCAATCACCGAAATTCAACAACAGCGTAACAGATGGGTAGAATACTTCGAGGAACTCCTGAATAGGCCGGCTCC